GGGGCGGCGGAGGAGGTACGGGAGAAACAGGAGGGCGGGAGGACGGGACGGGGATTGGGAGGACGGAGAGAACCGAACGGAAGACAGAGGGCGGACTGGGGACGGAGAGGACGAGCTGGGGACGGGGAGGATCGGCTGGGGACGGGGAGGATCGGCTGGGGACTGAGGGGACGGGCTGGGGACTGAGGGGACCGGGCTGGGGACTGAGGGGACCGGGCTGGGGACTGAGGGGACCGGGCTGGGGACTGAGGGGACCGGGCTGGGGACGGAGGGGACCGGGCTGGGGACTGAGGGGACGGGCTGGGGACTGAGGGGACCGGGCTGGGGCTGGGCTGAGGACTGAGAGGATCGGGCTGAGGACTGAGAGGATCCGTTGGGGACTGGCTGGATGGTTGGTGGGCGACTGCATGTAGGACTGGTTGCAGGTTGTATAGGTGATCGGCAAGGGAACCCGAGATGGCGCATTCTTGGCTGGCGTGTCGTGCGGTGGCCCCTGGCACCAGGCAGGCAAAAGCAGGTCGTGTGCTCATCTATTCCAATAGTTTGAATATTTGGACGGGTGTATCCTGTAATCTGCATTAACCCGCGAGTTGCTGGGGGGGGGGGGGCGTTAAACGCCCCCACTTTTTTCGCCGGGCCATAGCATAAAAACGGCGCGCCACAGGCGCGCCAAATTTTGGGTACCTGTAGGGAATTGATTAAGGTTTATTGTGACAAAGTTTAAAAAAAATCGGTCGGAAAATTTTTGAGATATCGAGGTTTTAGTGACGTCATGATTTCTGACTTTTCGACCAAAAACGGCATATGTTCAAAAAATCATATAAAATCACAAAATAGACATACAGACATGCCTTAAACGCCATTAGACTGCCAATACCATGAACAGTCAAATGGCTATCTTCGATTATTGATTATCGGTCCGCATTTTCCAAAATCTTGAACTGAATCTTGGCAATTTCTCGTGACTACTTCACGACCATGATACATGCATTTCTTAAATTGAACTTTTTTAGCCAAACACGTACACATATGATAAAATGAATGTCACCATCGTGTTCTACGCCCCAAATTACCCATAAAACATGTGTCACAGGCTGCGAATATCAGTTTTGATTTTCGAGGATATGTGCCTACCGGGTTGACCTGACCTTGACCCTGACCTATGCTTGACTGACCCCTACATGGAGCTGACACTCTTGTAGGCCTTATATGATGGATTGTGCACCGTTTTGACAGAGTTTATGACGAGAGGCGCCCATTGCGAAGTCCGGAAGTCCATGCTACTGAAAGCCCGATTTCAGGTGTTTGACCTGACCTTGACCCGACCTGTGACCTCAAAATTCAACTTTAAAGTACTCAACTGAAGCGTCTCGTCGCGTTCTTTCGTTTGCCGCCTCGTGCGTTTCGCTGCGCCTATTGGTTCTCGAGTTATCGGCTGGGGGCGTTTAACGCCCCCCCCCCCCCCAGCAAACGGTGGGTGGCGAAATACCCCAGCAACTGCCGGGTTAATCCCATTCTGTCGGTGTCGTGGTGCAGCCGTGGGCGGCTTCTGATCGATTTTAGTGGAACACGTTGACTTGATCCAACTGCGTTCCACTCCGCCAGCCATACACACATTATCATCTTAAACTGAGCAGATCTCCTAAAAAGTTGGTGAAGTTTTAGTGTGTTATCGTTTAGCGAACATCGGATAGGCATGTGGTGTTTATCCATTCTATGGTTGCTTTGAGCTTGGTTATGTTCCGAGTCATTTCGAAATGTCACGATGTGCTGACACTCTCCCCAGCGTGTAGCAGCCGGGTCCGTGGTCGCGCCAGGCACAGCCGGTATCAGTCGCCTGTGTTTGTTGGTGGCAGCGTTATGGGCCGGCTGGTTTCGGCGGCGTTTCAAGTTTTGTCGGCGCGAGCAGTGAGCAAGCTGAGGTCATCATTCTGTTATCAATGCACTGCGGTTACTGGCGTCAGTCGTTCCACCCCGTCTTACCCGGCCCCACCTTCCGTTACCCCGCTGATCCGGCGCCTGTCGGCGGGCCTCGTCGACTCCTTACAGTACCGCCGCCGTCCGCTCGTCCGTCTCCCCGTCTCCCCGTCTCCGCCGGCCGGGCCGTCTCCGTCTCCCCGTCTCCGCCGTCCGCTCGTCCGTCTCCCGGTCTCCCGGTCTCCGCGGGCCGGGCCGTCCGCCGTCCGGCCGTTATTGGGGTATTCTGGTGACGCGGTCCGCCGCCGTAGTGGCGGGGTTGGCGCCGCGGTCCGGAGTTATTGCCCCCGGGGCTTGTTCGGGCCTCACGCAGGGTGATCGTCGCATAGCGGAGAGAGCAGTGACGAGACTCGGGAATATTCTGCACAATGGAGGGCCCAGGGTTACGAGGTGCGGTTTAACGGGATTGTGCGCACTATCCTCGCTCATTGAATATTATGGAAACTATAAAACATGAGAGCGTTTATAAAACGAAATATCCTATGAAATATGGCCGAGCTATAAGTGCTATGGCACACTAGCGCTGAATTTCAGCGTGGATTGTTGTCTGTCAGTTCATAATTATTTGTTTTCTGCTTATAACAGCTGTTGATATTTGTTTCGAACTCACTCCACTATCAAGCCTGTGTAGTTGTTAAACAAGCAAGTGGCATGGCGTAGTCTGTCAGCTGTACCATCTCATATAGAAATATGCATCATGCATCATTACTTGGCTCGCTAGTGCAAACAGGCTGTTGGCACACTGCTAAGTAGAGTGAGGCCGTGCCCCTTTGATATCGGCCGCAGGCCATGTTGAAATGTGTACTGCGGCTGCTCGTAATTCCGTGTTAGTTCATGCAGAGGTGAATCAGTTTGACGTTAAGCCTCGGCAAACACGCCGATAATGCCTCCGATTGCCACTGCGTCCGCGTGGCGTGGCTTTCCCTTGTATTAGCGCAGGACTGACTAATCTGTCCTCTGCTCTTTGCACCTGCCCGGCCGGCCGCTGCGCCGCCGCCGTATAGGTGTAGATCCTGTTTCACGGCACGCCGCTGCCAGTTATTGGCGCCCGGTTTCTATGGAAACGTAAGCACAATTGTTGGCTTGGCGAGCTGGGGTCGCTGCGCGCCGCCTCTGCGCCGTGTCCCAGTTGATCCCATCCCGCCGTGTTCCTCCGTGGCCCGGCTGCTCCCGTCTCGGCTACTCCCGTCTCTCCACGTCCTACTGCTCCCGTCCCTCCTAGGATCCTGGCTGGTCTGGCCCCGAACTGCTCCCACCCCGGCGGACCCATCGGCCGGGCTGATTCCGTTCTGGTCTGGACATCACTTATCTGGCTGCCATGGCCCCGCTGGGCCGAGCTGATTCCGTTCTCGTCCGCCAGCCGCCGCCGTGGGAAGCCCCTCAGCTGCCGGCCTGCCTTTGACTGGACCCGTTTGGCCTAGCACGCGATGGCGGCTGACGGGGTCACTGAAGGACGGACAGAGGATGGAACTGATGGGACGGACGGGACTGATGGGACTGGATGACCGATGAGACGGATGGGACGGACGGCTGAGGGGATGGAACGGCCGGCCGGCCGGCCGGCCGAGGGATTTGATTGGTTAATCTGATGGTTAGCAGCTCCCTTCAGACCAGGGGGTGTCACTATGATTGAAATGTTTTGGTTGCTAAGATCTCCTTTTTTTATTCGTTACAACCCAGCACCATCGTGTACCTACTGTCTGCGAGTACAGTCCCGGCGTCTGCCGCGCCACGGTGACGCCGTTCCGCCGTGTCGCGCCCTGCGTCTGCCGTTTGCCGCCGGTCGCCGTCCGTCCGTCCGTCCGTCTGTGGACCGTCCATCGATCCACCTTTGAACCGGACACGGCCGGCTCGGCGCGGCGCGGATAGCTGATTTACTCTCGTCTGGCCGAGGTCGGCGCGATCCCGGCCCGCCGCCGCTCCGGCAGTGGAGGAATAGCAGTCTGTGAGACGAAGAAAGGGAATTCGCTGGCGACCGGCTGTCTCGCCCTCGATGATTACAGACAGCGACTTTCATTATTTTTCTCCAGATCCTGGCGAAGTCCCTCGTTTTGCAGGTAACAGCTCAGAGCGGCAATTCACTGGAGGCTGGGACCCCTGTGTCCGCCGCTCCCGAACTCACGGCACGGGTCACAGCGGAGTGCTGGGTGGGCCGGTGCTCACAGCGGTCATCACAGCGGGGTAGGCCTGCGGCCACAGCAGGGCCAGGGCGGGCCGTTGCCGGTGTTTTTCAGGGTTAATAGTGGATACCTGCTCACTGGGTTTCCGGCCGGAACAGTGGCGCAGTCGGCGGCGCGTCTGGTCGCCGATATACGATGCTGCTGCAGGGGCCGGTGGACCCGTCCGGCGGCGCGTCTGGTCGCCGGGTTACGGGGCTGCTCTGGCAGTTGTTTGCTGTTCATGCATTAAATTGACCCGTTCGGCGGCGGTCTGGTCGCTGCTTTACGGTGTTGCTGCAGGGGCAGCTATACCCGGTCAGTACTCAGTGAGGCGTGTGGCCGCCGGTTTACGGTGCTGCTGCAGGGGCACCTGGCTGCTCAGGCAGCAGCTGGCCCCGGTCGGCAGCGCTGCGGCCATTCGCGCCGTCCGGTGACGTCACGCCGTATGGATTATGCGCGGCTGCTCCGACTCCACAGATACCGTCAGATACCGCCTATCTGCCGCTACCGGCGGACTAGGAGCGGGCTCACTGGCTCACCTCCCCGGTCCGCCCCGCGCGGCACGCCTGCCGCGCCAGTGTCGGTCCGATGATGGAGTTATTATCGGCTGTGTGCGTCAAGGCACATAGTCCAAACGCCATAAGCCATGATAATCATTTATGGGAGTAAACTTGCAGCAAAAAATGCGTAAGTGTAAGGCTTATCATTATATTGACTACTGGTAATCAAACTGTCGCTATTACCTTAGTTTGAAAAGGAGATGAACTGATTTCCTGCACCAGGCTTTCATCGGGACATGAAGGGGACTTGGTAGTTCCACCTGGCACACATCGTTTCTATCAAAGTCGTTTGATGTTCCTCGCACCTGATCTGATGTTTTATTGACATTAAATATGAATAACCACATACAGACACACGTTGCATTTGCGCTCGTCGGACACATTATTGCATTGCGTATATCCTATGTCACCAGCCGATATACTCGTAGGTTGTGAATTCATCTCCACGTGGCTGATCGGTTTTAATTTCAGTTCTGTCTGCACATTATCTACGCTCCGCACCACACCGCACGGCGTGCCCTTTTACCGCGCCGGCCGGCTGAGCGCCTGACACCACTACCTACCGGCGCTCTGTGGATCGCCGTTAGAGCACGCACTGACCTCTGGAACACCCGAATTATGAGATGATAATGATTACACAGACAGAAGGAGTGATTGTGAAACGGTGTCATTCGCACTTACAAAAATAGTAGCAGCGGCATCAGTGCAACCACGAGCGCGCTATCAGTCGATGCGTGACACTGCCACTGGTATGACGAATACTTTTGTGGAGCAGCGACTTAGGTCGCACACATGCTGTCTGTTACACCGGCTTCATTATGCTGCAAGGCGCTGGCGGACGCAGGGGATGACAGAAGGACACCACTCTCCACCGGATGGTGTCCGGCAGAGTGACAGTCAGTCGATACGGTCGGTATCTCAGTTGAGGCCGTCGGAGTCTCAGTTGGAGCGTGTTGTCTAATTGAAGCGGCTGTTGTGTCAGTTGGAGCGGCTGTTGTCTCAGTTGAAGCCGTCGTTGTCGAGTCCCTGGCCGGCGGCGGCTCTCCGGCGGGTGACCAGCACGGCCAGCACGGCGGCACCGACCAGCGTCAGCGACAGCAGCACGCCCAGCGCGATGGTCGCCGACCGGAAGCCCGAGTCGTCAGCCGGCGCCGGCGTCGGCGGGCTGACGATGCCGTCGATGGTGTCGGCGGCGGCGGCGGCGGTGGTCTCCACGGCCGGGATCCGCTGGCGCAGGAAGTCGCGCTCGCCGCCGCTCAGCGCCAGCCGGCCGGTGTCGGCACACTCCAGCGTCCAGTTGAGCCGCTCGTTGCCGGCGGACAGGGCGCCGAGGGTGACGTTGTCGAGCTGCTGCGCATCCACCAGCGCCAGGGCGGCGTCGGCGTCGTCCAGCGTCCGGTTCAGGTCCCGCTGCAGCGACTCGCAGCTGACCTCACTCAGGAGACGGGCGAGCCGGAACGTCAGGACAGGAGCGCCGCGGAGCGACACCCTGAACAGACTCGGAGGGGAAGAGCCAGCAGTGGGTCCCACTGTAGAGGCCTTCGCAGTGGTAGGCTTCGGCGTTGTAGCCTTTTGTGTTGTACGCTCAGGTGTTGTAGGCTCCGGAGTTGTAACTTTCTGTGTGGTAGGCTTGGAAGTTGTAACCTTTTGCGTCGTAGGCTCCGGCGTTGTAACTTTCTGCGTCGTAGGCTCCGGCGTTGTAACTTTCTGCGTCGTAGGCTCCGGAGTTGTAACCTTTTGTGTTGTAGGCTCCGGTGTTGTTGGCTCCGGAGTTGTAACCTTTTGTGTTGTTGGCTCCGGCGTTGTAACTTTCTGTGTTGTAGGCTGGGGAGTTGTAACTTTCTGCGTCGTAGGCACCGGCGTTGTAACCTTCTGTGTTGTAGGCTCCGGAGTTGTAACTTTCTGTGTTGTAGGCTCGGGAGTTGTAACCTTTTGCGTTGTAGGCTCCGGTGTTGTTGGCTCCGTTGTTGTAACTTTCTGCGTCGTAGGCTTAGGTGTTGTCGGTTCTGGGGTTGTAACTTTCTGCGTTGTAGGCTCCGGCGTTGTAACTTTCTGTGTTGTAGGTTCCATCGTTGTAACCCTCTGTGTTGTAGGTTCTGGAGTTGTAACCTTTTGTGTTGTAGGCTCAGGTGTTGTCGGCTCCAGCGTCGTAACCTTTTGCGTTGTAGGCTCCGGCGTTGTTGGCCCCGGGGTCGTAACTTTCTGCGTCGTAGGCTCGGGAGTTGTAGGTTCCGGGGTTGTAACCTGCGTTGTTGGCTCGGGAGTTGTAGGCGTCGTTGTTGTTGGCTCTGGGGTTGTAACCTTTTGTGTTGTAGGCTCCTGCGTTGTAACCCTCTGTGTTGTAGGCTCCGGAGTTGTAACTTTCTGTGTAGTAGGCTCGGGAGTCGTAACCTTTTGCGTTGAAGGCTCCGGAGTTGTGACCTTTTGTGTTGTAGGCTCCGGCGTTGTAATCTTCTGAGTTGTAGGCTCCGGAGTCGTAACTTTCTGTGTAGTTGGCTCGGGAGTTGTAACCTTTTGCGTTGTAGGCTCCGGTGTTGTGACCTTCTGTGTTGTAGACTCCGGCGTTGTAATCTTCTGAGTTGTAGGCTCCGGAGTTGTAACTTTCTGTGTTGTTGGCTCCAGGGTTGTAACTTTCTGTGTAGTAGGCTCGGGAGTTGTAATCTTTTGCGTTGTAGGCTCCGGTGTTGTTGGCTCCGGAGTTGTTACCTTTTGTGTTGTAGGCTCCGGCGTTGTAATCTTCTGTGTTGTAGGCTCCGGAGTTGTAACTTTCTGCGTTGTAGGCTCGGGTGTTGTTAGCTCCGGTGTTGTACTTTTCTGCGTTGTGGGCTCTGGAGTTGTAACCTTCTGTGTTGTAGGCCCCGGCGTTGTGACCTTCTGTGTTGTAGGCTCCGGAGTTGTAACTTTCTGTGTGGTGGGCTCGGGAGTTGTAAACTTTTGCGTCGTAGGCTCCGGTGTTGTTGGCTCTGGTGTTGTGACTTTCTGCGTTGTAGGCTCGGGTGTTGTTGGCTCCGTGTCGATGGCGGTCAGCAGGTCCGTCAGCTGGCTCTGCATGGTGTGTACCTGCTGCTGGATGCTCTCCAGCACGTCTGCCGCGGCCAGGTCGGCGGACGGCGGGGGCAGCGCCCCGGCTGCAACGGACGGGGCCAGGACTGTCAGAAGAACCTGGACACAGAGAGTTCAACGGACCGGGACACAGACAGTAACACTACAGCGTCCCGGCTGCAACGGACGGGGCCGGGATCGTCAGAGGACCGGAACACAGAGAGTTCAACAGACCGGGACACAGACAGTAACACTACAGCGCCCCGGCTGCAACGGACGGGGCCAGGATCGTCAGAGGACCGGAACACAGAGACAGTAACACTACAGCGCGCCTTAAAATTTCTGTGACCGTTCGTAATCTGGGCTGACTTAGCTTTGACCCGAAACATACCGAGGACAAGCTCGGTACCCACAGGATATCTTTCGCATACATTGAGTGTGTAAACTAAATATGCGCTTGATGTGACGTATCTGGCGGCGGCCAGAGCCCGATGAGTAAACATGACTAAATATCGATATGCTCTACTTTGGCCTGACCAATAACGTCATTAGTGACCTCTAGATAAGTGATATTAGGATTCGTTGAATAGTTTTGCAAGTGGCAGGTGCTATCACATGCCATTTGAATTTTGACAATCGGACCAGCGCTTTCGTAGATGCGGGAGGTGGGGAGGTCTGTAGAACCCTCCCCCCAGTTACTCGGGCTAAATGGAATACCTATCTCCCAGTCATGGGCGGGTTATCCATTGACCAATCTAGTGTACTCACTACTCAGTGCTCGTTCTACCTATGGTTCTGTGTGTTTGCTGCTCTACCCGTTTTGGGTGTGGAACGTCAGCTATTCCTTGTTTTCTTTGGTGGAAATTAGGGGTTTGAAGGACCTACTTAACATCTTTTTTTAACGACGGACAATTTTTCTTCAACGCCTTTTGCCTATTTAAATTCTTTTAAGCATGGGTACCTTATGGGTACCTCGAGGTGTGAATTAAAGTTATAAGTATTGATGTTATTGACAGCGAAAAGCTTGATATTGCTTTTAATATTATCCCAGCGCAGTAGTGTTTTACTTCGGTTATATTTTGGGGAGGGGCACGTTGCCGTCCATCAATTGGCTGCACCAGATACGTATAACGGGCAGTGCCGTTGCACCTTGCCACTCACCATGCTGCACGGCTATCACCGACACGGCGGCGGTGAGACTGAGACCGAGTCGCGCGGCGCTGGCCATGACTGGCGGTGTCTGGGGCGGGCGGCTGTGACCTGCGCTGACCTGCGCTGGGGCGCGGTGATCAGACCGCCGCGATGCAGGACAATCCTCCGACTGGCTGCGCCGCGCCGACCCAGTCCCGCCTGCGTACCTGCTATCACGGCGTGGGCCGCTTGGAAAACGATTAGATTGTGCAGCCAGCACGTCATAAAAGGCCCGGCCCGGATGTTGGCTGGCTCTCCGGGGCTGTCTTTTCTGAGCGCCGTCTGGTCGCCTGGGTACAGATACCGCAGACGGGCGACGCTCCGACGGGGATTAGCGCTATCACGCCGGTGGCTGCCGCGGGTCCGTCATTGCGCGCTGTCCTATCACACGTGAAGGACGGCCGGATTGGGTCCGTCCTGCGAGTGATTCACGGCCTACTGACGGGCCAGGCTGCTGACTGCGTGAAGATGTCTGACATCAACTCGGCAGTTTGCGATTCCAGCTGAACAGCTGACTGTTTGCATTACAAATAGCATTTTTGATGGGGCGGTGAATGACAGAATGACACTCGTAATATCTCCTATGCCAGACATGTGCATGGATTCGAGAAAATGGACCTGGGATCTGATCTCACGGGTCCTGATCTCGGATCCGACGGGATCATAGATCCAGCTCTGTAATTTATCGAGAGATCCGTAGGGATCACAGGTCCGAGTCTCATTTTTGGCTTGAGATCCAGTGAGATCATAGATCCTTACTTATTTTTTGTCAACACATATCCCCCCCCCCAAAAAAAACACTTGTTTCAACTCACAAACATACTGTTTTAGTGATTTTACGTGATCGCACGTCATAAACCATAGTTTTGTGGCACTTATTGGCATAGAAACCCTATAAAACATGGTTTCAAATGTGGTGCATGGTGGGATCCATTCAGGTCTCAGATCATAGATCCATGTTCTTAATTTATCGTCAGATCATATGAGATCATAGATCCAAGATGTATTTTTCACGCCGGATCCTGTGGGATCATAGATCCCAACCTGTACTTTGCTTCGAGATCCACTGAGATCATAGATCCATCACTCGGATCCATGCACATGTCTGTCCTATGCAATGAAAACTTTTCTCACGGTGATATACGGAAATGACTGGAGGCCCGAATAGATCGAGGTTCGAGGCAGGAGATGCCAGCGGATCGCTGGCTCATCAACTCTAGCATCGCAGGAGCGGACTTTGGCTCAGAGACGTATTGTGGATTTCGGAATAATGAGAAAGGTTTTAAATGGACAGTACGATTGCTGACTATATATGCAAACAGATAACGAAAGTTCCAACAATGTGACGAACTTGATAGAGGAAGTCCATTTAAATTCTTTATCAGAGCCGTCCCTATCCGAAATGTCATTAGCACAAACTCAGCATTGAGCGATGAAGCGGCTTGGCGTACCATTACCACACGCCACGCGGTGAGGTGCTGAGGAACCCGCGCTTCACCTCTGTCCTCCTCGATACATACATACGTTGTCAGTCGCCGTTGGAGACGAACATTGACGATGATTTTACAGCGCTGGACCGGTCCGGCCATCGGTCAACATGTTCTATAAGTACGACTTTGTATCACCGCTGGCCCAGAGTCGCTTTGTTTCATGTTCGATTATTATCCTCCCGGGAGATGGACCATGTCCTCTGCTAATCCCGCCGCAAACACCCGTGTTACCGACACCGGGTGGTGGTGGACGGTTCCCCCGTGTCCGGCGCGGTTCCCGACCGCTGTGGTTCGCCGCGGCCGCGGTTCCCGACCGCTGTGGCTCCCGGCGGCCGCGTGGCCTGCCCCGCTGTGGTTCCCGGCGGCCGCGTGGCCGGCCCCGCTGTGATTTGTGTCAACATCTACCGGCGTTCCTCGGTGTCTGGTCGCCGCTCCCCTCCCCTCATTCCGTCTGTGATAGAGCCGGCACGCGTCTCGCTGTCGGCGGAAAGTCCTGCACTGACGCAGGCCGGTGTCGTCACCGATTGTGGCCGTCCCCCAGTACAGGACGGCGGCCCAGTGAGCGCATCCCGCCCCCGGCCGCGTACTTTGTCATCTGTGGCACATAAAACCGATGGAGAAATGGCGGCGCCTATCGGATCCGGGTCGGTCGGTCGGGCGGCGGCTAACGGCGACATCTCGCCCCGATATCTGATATGAAGGCCCGAGTTAGTCTGAGTCACTTTTTCCTTGCTAGTTACCTAGTTACCGGTGTATAATTTTTTATTATTGTCGGAATGCTAGGGACTGAACTTGCAATTGGGGTGCAAATGGGGTCCATGGGGTGCAATATGGGGTGAAGCGAATGGTATTGCATCCAGTTGGTTGTTTGTGCGGTATTCCGCATCTGAGGGTTGATCTGTGGGAGCTGGGAAGTGGGGTGGTCACACACTGCCACTGCCCAGAGAACTGACTGTCGCCTCTCCGATCCCCGCGCCCGGACTGTCAGATCTGCACTGGCGAATACAGGGCACATCAACCGATACATGCAATCGATGTGGGCCGTACACCTACAACCAATAGATCCGGTGAGGGTTAAGTCGTCCAATAATTTACGACGAAATACTTCTTCACGACTGACCAAACCACCTCTTTCTCCATTGAAAAGTTGAACGTACAGGAAATATTCCATATTCTGTTGATCCTCCCTCCCCATGTGTAGCGTGACGCAAGGATGAATGTGAGCCGTATAAGTGTGAGTCAGCTTCAGCGTCGAGCTGTGAACCGGTGACCCAGCGTTGGTCATAGCCGCCGGCATCTGATGCCGGCAGGGCCGAGTTACACCCTGCAAGTAGCTGGGCCGGGCATGACGTATGGGAGCATGATTGGCTGGTTATGATGTGAGATATATGACGTATGACAGCGCGATTGGTTGGTGATGATGTGAGATGTGTGTCTGCGAGCTGTGGATGTGCCAGGAGGGGGATTGTGAGTTTAGTTGGCTGGAAGGTGTAGAGGAGAGCAGAATAGATCTTCTTCTTGTGCTGGACGGTGACTTTTAAGTCAGTACGACAAGCTATTTCGGCCTTCTCGACTAAGTGTTGTGATTATGTCTGACGTAGAAGAGGGCAGTGGTGCACCGGTAGCTGGTACCAATACCATGGAACCAGAGTTTCCTGCGCCTGCATTCGATCTGCGGGCAATACCGGAGTTCGACGGCAGCGGTGACGTCGTCAGATGGCTGGAGCAGGCGACACAGCTGTGTGCCCTGCGTCGTGTGTCACTGGCCGCTGTCATACCCACACGCCTGAGGGACCAGGCGTACGAGGTGTGGGCCACCCTCTCCTCCACCGAGCAGCGGGATGCTGCAATCGTCCGCCAAAAACTGCATCGTGCATTTGCATTGGGACCCGACGCGGCTATGTATGAGCTGTATCACCGACGTCTACAACCGGGCGAGTCTGTGGATGCCTACCTGGGATCAGTCAAGCGGCTGATATCCCTCATAGGTTCAGTGTCCAACGAAGTGATGACGACGCACTTCCTGCAAGGTCTGCCGCCGGAGGTGCGGCTAACAGTACGTAACAGTGCTGGAGATGAAACTCTCTCCTTGGAGCGAGCCGTCGCCGTCGCTAGGTCAACGTTGGCGATGGCGGCCAGGGAGAGAGCGACTGCATCGGTGGCTGTCGTCCAGCCGCCGCCATCATATGTACAGCAGCAGCGGGGAGCCAGAGGGACGGGTCGCCGTCCACCACTGCGGTGTTGGACCTGTAACCAGGTAGGCCACATCGCCCGGCTCTGCCCAAACGGGCACGGCGACGGCGCTACATCAGCGCCACGGGCTCCGCCGTCGCCAGCTGCCGCAGTGACCCAAGAGCCCCCATCATCGACATCAATGTAAATGGGCGCAAGTGCCGAGCACTCGTCGACACAGGGTGCAGCGAGACAGTGGTGTGGAAGGGCATGGTGTCCTGCTGGGAGCGGAGTGACGCCAGCTTGGTCGCTGTCAACGACAGCCCGGTGCTGTGCTGTGGGCGGGCTGTGGTCAGCCTTGGAGTGCGCGGGGCGACAGTGAGTGTGCGGGCGGTCGTCGTACCGGCCCGGTTGCTGGGCGTAGACGTGTTGCTGGGCATGACCGGCATTGACGCCCTGCAGGGCGTGAGTGTAAGTGGAGGATCCGTTCGCTTCGGGAGCGACAACCCAGTTGCGAGCGTCGACACGGCTGCTGTGGTGCAGCGTGAGGCCCCGCCGGAGCGGGAGGTGTGTCGAGCGGTCGACACGGCTGCTGTGGTGCAGCGTGAGGCCCCGCCGGAGCGGGAGGTGTGTCGAGCGGTTGACACGGCTGCTGTGGTGCAGCGTGAGGTCCCGCCGGAGCGGGAGGTGTGTCGAGCGGTCGACACGGCTACTGTGGTGCAGCGTGAGGCCCCGCCGGAGCGGGAGGTGTGTCGTGCGGTCGACACGGCTGCTGTGGTGCAGCGTGAGGTCCCGCCGGAGCGGGAGGTGTGTCGAGCGGTCGACACGGAGCCGGAGCTAAGGATTGACGAGACTGACTTCACGGCTGTGTTCGATGATGTGTGGACAGTCCGTTGGAAATGGGCCGGTGGCGTGGCTCCGCCCCCGCTTGGAAACTCGATAGCTCAGTACGGTGTGCCGAGTTGTGCGCGTGAAAAATTCGATGCAGAGCTGGCGCTGTGGATTAGTGAGGGCTGGCTGCGCGAATACGATGAGACGATGTACGGTCCCGCACAGGGATTGATCCCGTTGATGGTGGTTACTCAGGCAGCGAAGGACAAGGTGCGGCCGGTGTTAGATTATCGGGAACTCAATCAACACCTGACACGTCACACAGCCGACGCTGACGTCTGCGTGGAAGAGCTGCGAAGGTGGCGACGTCACGGACGCCGGGTCGCTGTCCTGGATCTGAAGAAAGCTTTTCTTCAGCTTCGTGTGGACCCGGCCCTGTGGCCGTACCAGACAGTCATCGTGCAAGGGCGGCGGTACTGCCTGACCAGGGTCGGCTTTGGGCTCAGTATCGCGCCTCTGATCATGAAGGCTGTGGTCAGGAAGGTGCTCGCACAGAGCCCCGGGTTGGCAGAGGCAGTGCTGCCTTACGCCGATGATCTGCTGGTCAACGAAGCGGTGGTC